CACACACACACACACACACACACACACACACACACACACAAATAAATAAGTTAAAAAGAAAAAAGTCTGGGGTAGGCAGTATGGACAGCAAGGCTGCTTCTGTCTTCCCTCTGTGCAGTCTGCAGTCCTTCAATATGTAGTCCACAGTAGCTGCCTGCATGCCAGCTATCTTATTCGCATTCCAGGAGGAAGAAAAGGGTAGAGCAGAGAAGAACAGCATCCAATTTTAAACCTCCTTAGTAAAAGTTTCTCCCAGCCCTTTGGCCTGGTTAGTCACAGGGCCACACCTCGCTTCAGGAAGGTGAGGAATGCACTTTTTGCAATATGCTGAGCTGAACGTTAGCAGTCACAAAGCGGGGGAACATGGCACCCCAGTAGTTTGGCACAAATCTAAACAAAATTGAAGCTGCCTGGACTGTAACTCAGCTCTGCCAGTGTGGGCAAGTTGCTGAGGGTTGCCACGCCCGTTTCTGGGCGTGTAAAATGAGGGTGCTCCCGTGGGTCCTGCGGGCTGCTACCCTGTGTGACAGCATCTGCTGTGTGGGTTTGTTGCTCCTTGCTCTCGGCGTCCGTGTCCTGGAGCAGCGGACTCAGGGACTCACCGAGTGGCCCCGCGCAGCGCAGCGCGCTTGGTGTTGGGGCCGCGGCCGGATTATGGCTGGGGCCCGGCTGAGCTGCCGCGGTGCCCCGGCAGGTTTGGCCACGGCACCTTTCTGCTGTGCCTGGAAGCCATCTACCAGAAGCTGACGGGGAAGGAGCTGCGCTACGAGGCCCTGATGGGCAAGCCCAGCCTGCTCACCTACCAGTATGCGGAGCAGCTAATCCGGCAGCAGGCCGAGAGGCGGGGCTGGGCCGCCCCCATCCGGAGGCTGTACGCGGTGGGGTGAGTCCTCCTCGCCTGACCCCACCCTTGCTTCCTTCCGTCTCACCCACACCCTGCCCCCTAGTTCTCTCTTTGGTTCTCATGGCGCTGAATTTGGGTCTCTCCTCCGCTTCCCCTGCAGTGATAATCCCATGTCTGATATCTACGGAGCTAACCTCTTCCACCAGTACCTGCAGAGGGCGGAGTGCGCTGCCCAGGCGGAGCAGCAGGGGGCTGGTGGCCCGCAGAAGCAGTGGCCCTCGGCAACGCAGAGCTGCACCTCTATCCTGGTGTGCACCGGCGTGTACCGACCCCAGGAGCCCAGCGCTAGGGAGCAGCCGTTCCATGGGCACCGGGATTTTGGCTTTAGTCCCGCGCTCCTGAGGGCATCCCATGTGGTGAGCGACATCCATGAGGCCATGCGGCTGGCCTTCCGCGAGGAGGGCTGGACTTGGTAATGCGGGCGCTGGGAGCCCCTGTGCTGCCCTCTGCCCTGAGCCGGTGCCGTCGCCCCAAACTGGGGTGTCACGGGTCAAGAAGACATTGGCTTTATTTTTGTGTTGAACATTGGCAACAGAAATGCACCGGGGGCCCCCATTTCCCATGGAACTGTTCCTGGCCGCCTCTCCTGGCAGTCTGACCTCAGGCTGGCCCCTTTACCTCTGTGCCTCAGTTTCCTCTTCTTTCTGCAGGGCCTGCCTCCTGCTGAGGGGGAGGCCACATGTAGAAGTCCTCTTGGGGAACCACTGCGCAGAAGCAGGCGTGAGCCAAGCCTCACATGCTGGTTTTCACTGTATTTTAGGTTATTGCCCAGTAATTTTGGGCTTATTTTTTTAAATTAAAATTATCCTAATAAATACTCATTCTGCTGTCTCTTGTGAAGCTGTCTGGAATGCACTAAGGTCTGGGGGAGGAGTGCAGGGGGGGATGGTACACCCAGTCAGCTCTGGAGGCGGGAGATGTGTGGCCAGGGTGGGCGTGGACTTGGTGTCCTAAGGCCTCAGCCTCCCAGGTGCTGGTATTCCAGCCGAGCAGCACCTTGTTCGGCCCGGCCCTGTGTGGTGCTGTGGAGAGCTGAGGCCTGGTGCAGTTTCAGATCCCCAGTGACCCCCGCCCCATGGAGGGGTCGGGCACAGCTCCTCTCGCTGCCGTGTGCTGCACCACGACATTTTCCAGAGTTCTTAAAATTTCATTCCAGAGTTTTAAAACAGGCATCACTCACACTCTGTTGGAGCCTCACAAATCTCTGAAGGAGGGAAACAGATCCTTTTTTTTATACTGGGGATTGAAGCCCAGGCTTTCACATTAAGTGTCTGTCTGTCTCTCTCTCTGCCTCTGTCTGTCTCTCTGTCTCTGTCTCTCTCACCATACCCAGCTGAGAGAGACAATTCTTAGCTATTTAATTGTAGTAAATGAGGCGCTAAGGCAAGGGGCATTCAGTTTTTCTTCAGAAAACCACTCCAGGTTTGTCCGCTTCAGGGAGCCCTAGGAGCACAGTGACAGTGACCAGCCACTGGCAACAACCCCTGCCCTGTGAGGTCTCTGTGAGTGGTGAGATGTCCAAAGTCACAGTGGCAGGGCTAGGCCTGCAGATCTGTCTCCTAGTCTGAGTCCAACGTTTTCCCCAAGACATGGCACTGCCCACTGGCTGCCTCTGACTCTGTCCACGCATGGCTTTGGGTCCCAGTACCTCTGCAGCCCCCTGAGGGTCCTTGGGCCACGCATGGTGAACTGAGCAAACGGGATAGCACGGAAGGGAGTGGGCTACAGGCATGCCCAAGGAGGGAGAATCAGTCCTAAGCTCAGATGGAGGTGACAGAAAGTGTCTCGCCATGGCTCTGTCCCTGTGGATGGCTGTTGTTTTAACTCTGTAATTGCTTCTTTCCCTTTCTTACTTGTTTGAGTTTCCTAAAGATATCACAAGCTATTCCAGGCTGGGTGCAGAACAGAGTGTGCACTGCCTGACATTACTTAGGCAAATCTGCAGAGGAGGGCAGGGCTGAGGGGCTTGAACTGAGGACCAAATGCCTTTATTTGCCCACTTGCAGACTGAGTGGAAATGTTAACCTTTTGTTTTTTGATGAAATTGGGTGAGTAAAAACCATAAAGACTGTATGTTAATTTGAATAGGATGTGAATGTCCCCTGACTTTTTTTCTTTTATGGGGGATGGGGTCTTAAATATGCAGTTCAGGCTGGCCTTGAGCTCACTTTGTAGCCCAGGCTGGTCTTGAGTTCGCAATGATCCTTCTGCCTCAGCCTCCTGAGTGCTGGGATTATAGGAATGTGCCACCATGCCCAGCCTTATTTTACTTTTGAGATGGGGTCTTGTAAAGTTGCCCAACTCAGGCCCAGAGCTGAGAGCCTTATGTCTCAGTTTCCTCAGTAGCGGGGACTGCAGGCCTGCGTTCTACAGTGCTTGATGGAGTCCATGTTTTGAACCCTGCCACAAGGGCTCACGGTGAGCAGATGTCATCAGCCTGGGTCTCTCCAGGTCACCTCAGAGTCTGAACTCCGGCTGGCCTCTGGCTGTGTGGTGAGCCCCATGGTAATCAGGACACCCTGCAGAGCTGGGGTTGCTGTAGCAACGGGGCGCTGCCTCATGGGTGGAATTTTAAAATATCTCAGCTATAATAGTTGTATTTTTAAAAACATCATTCTATCACTTCCCTGGTGCTTTGAGGGGCTGCTGAGGCAGGCAGTGCTGGGGCGCCTGCTCCCTTGCCTGGGGCTCCTGGCAGCTTCTGGGGGTTGGCAATGGGAAGATGTCTTGGGGTGTGAACAGCTGTTAAGCTGCAGAGCCTCTGTTTCCAGTTTCCTCCAGCTCCTGGTTCCCATCTTGTGTCACTTTCTCCTTTTAGGGAGGGAGAGACAGTCTAGCGTGAGACTCCTGCCTCCCCCCACGCTAGCATCCCTCTGACTGCTAGACCCTCAGGGCAGCCTGGCAGCCCCATCTCTCCAGAGGGGAGGAGTTTGTTACTTCTCTTCTGCTCTGCTTCTTCCTTTCTTATTTCTACCTCCTTCCTTGGCCTTCATTTATTCACTCAACAAATGCCTGTGGATCACCTGCTAAGCTTGGGGATCAGAAGTGAGAAGCTGGACTAGGCCATGCCCACCCAAAGCTGTGGCTCTCTTCAAACCTAGCCCCACGAGCCCCAGGGGGACAGAGTGCTGGTGGCCAGGCTGGGGCTGCTGCTTCTGCTTCGCTCCTCCCCACGCATTCATTCAAACCCAACAGCTGTTGTGCCATTGTCAAATAACTTCTTCCAGAAACCTCTGCCACCCCAGAGCAACTGAGGCCTCCCCCAGGCAGGCAGCCGTGCCCCTAAGTCAGCAGCCAGGCTTGGCTGCTCCCACCTCTCTGCCGATAGAGACCCAGCCATGGGGCCGCTCCACCCCCCGTCTCCCTCCAGTGGTGACCAGCAGCCCAGGGTCCGCATCACATTTACACAGAAAGTGCTGAGAATTCCTAATTTGATTGGTTGGATGGAGGCCACGTGGAAGGTTTGACAGGTGGTGAATGCTAGCCTCAAATCTGCGGGAGTTTTGGGTACAAAACAGATAGCATCCAAAATTGACGCGATATTCTCAAATGTGGTTTAAGGATTGTGGACACTTAAAAAGTCTACCTTCAAATCAAGATTTTTTAATCTAGAAATAAAGGATGGGATGTGGAATGGGAATTCAATCCTCATTTGTTTCAGTAAGTCTATAAGGCTGTAAAATGGGTAATATGAAAAGCTTCCACATTTGTATTTTTATGAAGGATCTACCAGACCAGGAGTGGGGGCACCTATCTGTAACTCCACCACTCAGGAGGGTCATAAATTTGATCCTGGCCTTGGCAACCTAGTGATTTAGGACGATCCTGACTCAAAATAGAAAAAGGGTTGGAGCTACAGCTCAGTGTACAGGCCCTGGGTTCAAGCCCAAAGCAGGACTGGGTGGACAGGTGTAAGTCTTGGATGTGTGGTTTTAGCAAGTACTGACTTAACTCGAAGACAGCCTAAAGTTTCATATTGTTAAACTATCATTGTTCTCTTGGAAACTGTGCTTTCAAAGTTCTTTTGTTTCTTTTTCCCTCTGTAGCTTTGTATTTGACATCACATTTGATGTTTTCTGTAGTTATGGACATGCGCCAGGGCCACGATGGGCCGGAACCCACCCCCAAGTACAAGTGTGAAGAGCGGACCTTGCGTAGCCTTAGAGTCAGGCGCTATCCATTTCCCGCCACCAGTTTAGCCACATCCAATTAGCGAACCTGACCCCAAAGAGTGGAACTACCTAGGCCTCAACTAATTTCAGTGTCGCAGTCACTGGTGTGCGACACACTCCCAGCTACAAAAACTTTACTACTCTTTCTGTAAATACTTTATTTCTTTCTATAAATACTTAAAAAAAAAAAAAAAACCTATGGGGCCTGGGACTATAGCTCAGTGTCACAGCGCATGCCCAGCAAGCTCAAGGTCCGGAGTTCAATTCCCACTACAAACAAAAACCCCAAAACCTATGGATCACAAAAGCCACATTTGAAATGTTCTGTTATCACTCAGTATTTTTAGATAGCTAGAGCCTAGTCCTAAGCTTTAAAGAGATCTTCGTTTTGCAGTGCATCTTTTACAACTGCCTTGATACCTAGAAATCACAGATTTAAAAAAATAAGACACCACTCTCATTTGGATGACCAAACACCAACACTTGCCTGGTCCAGCATCTAAGGCGACCCTGGTAGTCCTGATAACCTTCGTCATTTTTGGCTTTTGCATCTTTAGAAACCTACCTGGGAACAACCGGACCAAACAGATTGGGAGCCATTGTGTGTGAAAGGATGTGCCCTGCTTCACCCTGAGCGCCGTGCATCTGTCTGTCTGTGGTGTTGACGTGGCTGTGCTTCGATGTGTGGTAGTGTCTCGTTACGGAATTGATGAGCCTTGAGCACACGACTGTAAATAAAAGGAATAAATGGCTGAAAAAGAGAAGGAAGGGAGGTAGGGAGGGTAGGAGAACTATGCTTGTCCTAGGGGAGTCCGTCGCTGTCCAGATCCTGGACTTGCCCACTTGGGTCAGTCTTACAGTTACAGTAAGGAAGACTGTGTGCTGTTGACTGAAGACACACATGAGCCCCAGATATAGACCTGTACCTTAGTCAGAAATTGGCTTCACATCATATTTTTGTGGGTGTGGGATTGGGGATGGAAACACAAGGCTTAATATTTCCTAGGCGGGTGATCTACTCCCAAGTGACATCTCCGGCCCGAAATAGGTAATTGTGGCTCTTCTCCCCAGCCAGCTTGGCTTGGGTGGCTATTTGGGGCCTTTCTCCTGCAGGGCAGCTCAGGGATCCCCGCACCTTCCACGTTGCGATGATGCTGCTGTCTTCCGCACGCACGCGGCTTCCCAGGTCTCCGTGGACAAGAACGGATGAGTGGGTGGGGCTTTGGCCAGGCCGGTGCCGTGCACCCTGGAGTCCACGGTTCCCGTGCGACCACAGAGCAGCTGGGAACTGTGACCCCTGTGGGTAGGAAGATGATGACAACGACGACGACGACGACGACGATTACTTTGCCTCTTGAGGCAGGATCTCACTATGCCGCTCGGGCTGGCCTTGAGCTCACTTGGTGGCCCAGGCTGGTCGTGCACTCACAGTGATCCTGCTGCCTCTGCCTCCAGAGTGCGGGCATTACAGGCGTGTGCCACCGTGCCCGGCTGTAGCTAGTATTTTATTGGGAGTTGTCTGCTCATAAGTGAGACTGGGTTGCCTTAGTCCATTCTGGCTGTTATAACAGAACACCATAGTCTGGCTGGCTTATAAAAGAAGAAGTTTATTTCTCTTAGTTTTGCAGACTGGCAGTTCAAGACCAAAGCACCAATGGA